GATGGGGTTAACTTTTGGTTGCAATAAATGCTGAAAGCCTACCCCTAGGTTCCAATCCTTAAACATACCTCACAACCTAATAAATGCATTTCAGGATAAAAAGAGAACATAGAAAACCCAGGAGGAAACCTTTTGAAGGAGGGAGCTCAGACCACGAACCTAATTTCTTCCATGATAAGCAGGCATTACACATCCCTGTGGTTTCCCAATACAAGAATCGAGGTTAATTATAGTAATCCAAAATATAACCAAGTTGCTATGTTAAGATACATTGGCATGTGTGTACATATTGCTAGTAGACACAGTGAAAATTTTGTCATATTTATCATTTCATTATATCCAGGACCAAAGCAGAGGGGGAAAAAAAAAACCCAAAAACAACAAACCAAAACAACCCACTCAAGTTGAATACCATTATAAAGGAGTGTTCTAGTAACATAAGAGTCAGAGAGTTGGGAGGTATGTCCCAGAGATGCGATTGGTCTTGCTATTACAACGACTTCTAACAACAGTGTGTAAAGTCACAGACAGAGGAAGCAAGGATTTGCGTTATCCGAGGACGTCTCTCTCTGGTTGGAAGTTTGGTGCTTAGGTGCATAGTCTCCCAGAGCTGAGACAGGAAATGTACTGTGCTGAGAAATGGGCCCCTTGCCAGCCACTCCCTCCCTCCTTCCTCTCTGTGAGGTGGAGGCCAGGAGGCCGGGACTGCTGGCAAAACCGTGAAGTTCCACCCTGGGGTCTGAACCCCAACTCCACTGAGGGCAGCCTCCCTGACGTGTGTGACTAGGCAGTAAGGCTGATGGTGGCCAGAAAACCCAGCTGCGAGGGTCGCGCGGCCACGTGGCTTCTGATTCTGCTGCCCTGCAAAGGAATTGTGCTCCGGATAACTGCACCGGTGTCTCGAATGCCTCTAATTCACTCGCAGGCCCTCGGAGGCCAGGAGTGATGTCACTTAAAGGTGGACACACCTCCATGAGCACCTAACTTACACGAGGAAGCGGCTGAGGCACTGGGGAAGCCTACGAGCTCTCTCCGTGTCGGATGCAACGACGCAGGGAAGTTGCCATGAGTCAGAGTTATTGGTAGGCTTTTGATTTTTAAAAATCAAAATTGATCTGCATTATAGCTCCATAGACTCAGATAATTCTCACCAAAAATTTTTGTAATTTGTTTAAATAGCACTGGAATAATTCGACTTCATTTAAATATATTCATTCTACCATGAAAATATTTCATACAAACATCTATTTACATACAAACACATTAAAATTTGTGAAAAGGGTTTCCACCCCTGTGGTTGTATGGCTTGAAATAGTTTCATTGCTTTGAATATGTATGCACACATTTGGCAAAACAAAACTATTAAAATTTAGTAAAAAAATAAAATAAAAAAGTGACACCAAGGCTCCAAATTCCTGAAGGGAAAGATCAAAGAAAAAAACAGTCTATCAAAGTACCTCAAGTAGATGCAAATTTAAAGATATTTTGTGAACCTTTGATCTGTGGCAAATAAACATTACAACTATCAGTCTTGCAACATAGTTTCGCTTGTTTTTCTAAAAGAAGTCTGGATTGTAAATCACTACTCTTAAGACAGAAACTTGAGGCAACGGTTTTTAAAACAAGGCAAAACAGAAAACTATCCCTTCTTGGAAGATCTTAGATGCACTTTGCCGCGAGTGATTTAAAATTTTATATATTAAAGGAAAGTTTCTAAAGTGCCACACACTGTCTCACTAAGAAGGCAACCCTTGAATTCGCTGTTCACAGTTACTGCCATTTTCATAGTTACCAGTACATGTTGTAAATGGTTACACTTGCCTCCATGTTGGCCTTTCCAGGTTGTTGGTGACAAGGAAATCCTTTTTCAAGTGTGAAGAACCCCCAGAGGGCAAATAAATTGAACGATACGCCCCGGACAGGTTCAAAGAGGTCTTGAAAAACGAATTTCCTTCTTCATTTCTCAAGTAGACCAGGGACGAAGCAGGTTAAAATAAGAATGGGTACTACAAAACTCAAGTCCTCCCCGCCTGTTGCCTCTTAATCTCCTCTCTGCTTTGTGTCAGAAAGTCAGTCCTTACAGCGGTTCTGTCTCTGTCAGTCCAGCCAAACGTCCACGCGGGGACATAGTCCCACAGCTTAGTTCCTATTCCTAGCTCTAACACAAGATAATATTTTGTCAGAGAAAAGCGGCTAAGGAAAGATCTAGTCATGCAGGAGTTGGGCTGAGACAGCTCAGAGTGAATCTTCTCGAGACTATGGCGTCACGCACCCGCACAGGTGCCGGCGTTTTCGGGGAGAGCATGAGGTTCTTTCTTTATTCCCCACCACATGGAATCTTCCGCAATTCCGCTGTGATCATCATGCTCATAAAACTACCCGATTTGGCTGCTTCCTGACACGTTTCCTTCCACAGCGAATGTAAAGATTCAGTAGAGAAAGACATCCCGAGGCTTTCCTCGCAGGACGTCGGCTCGAACAAGGAGAAACCCTTCCTTCCTCACCAGTTAGCTCCTTATGGAACCTCAACCCCTGCGACTTCTTTACCTACCTGCAGAACACAGTGAATCTCAAGCCCCCTCGGAGTCCGCTCTGTGACAAAGCCTTCCGTTTGGGAGTGGGGGGGGGTGGGGGGAGCAGGCGCCACAAAGCCAGGCAGAGACACAGTGAAGGCACAGAGGGGCACACAGAGAGCCTAGCAAGAGAGGAGAGACACTCAAAATGGGGAGGGAGAGGACGGGAAAGAGCAAGAGATCAGCTGGACAGGGACATCAAGACATTCTCACAGACAAGAGAGAAAGCGGGAAGAGACGGGACAGGAGAAAGAAGAGCCAGAAGACGCAAGAAGAGAGGAGGGAGAGAGACAGAGAGGCTCAGCTTGGGTGTCCTGTTTCCTCTGATTTGTCTGAAGGTCACAGACACACTGCCGGGTTTTCAACCGAGTGCTGTCATTCAACACCTAATTTGAAAAATGGATTAGTTGGTTAATTACTACTTACAACTCTTCAATCCCTTTTATCAAAAGAAAGAAAGGAAGAAAGAAAGATTCCATTTGAGTGGGGGGTAACCAGAGTAACCCAGGAGGACAGAAATTATACCCCTACTGCAGCCTGAACAAGAATGACATCACCGCCAGGAACGGAATCATTCAAAGCACAGCAGTGTTGGAAGTGTGACCTGCTCCATCCTGACCTCGCTCACTGACCTGGCTCCACGACCCGACTGACTGGGGCTACTTTAATTTAAGCCATCTTTCTCCTGAAGACAGTCACTTGCTTTGGGACGCATTTGAATTAAAGCACCCATCAGAATACAAGTCCCGAGACTGCCCATCTGTCACAGTTTACAGAACCGTCTCTTTCTACAGAACAGAAGCTATCCTATCATCTAAAAACCCTACTCGGTTCCCTTGGTGGGACCCCCCCCTGGCAGCCCTGACAACTTCTCACGGGGGAACCATCAGCTTCCCCGCGCCCCACCCCCCGAGACCACCTCCAGTTAGCTGCACGCCTTGCACTGGCTGTGTGCGCTGGCACCGCTGGGGGGGCTGGGGAGGGGCTCCGGGAAGCCTGGCCCTGCAAAGGAGGGAAGGGCCCCCTTCTGTCACTGTCTTGGGGGCTGAATCCTGTGCCCAGGGGCCACACGAACGGAGAGCTGTGAGCAGCCCCCGGTCAAGCACTTTTGTTAAATTCCTCCTAAGAGCAACGTGTACCTGACAAGAAATAGCAAACTTCCTTGCTGCCCATTTCTTTACTCTTCTCGCTGCCAGCAAGTGGTCTCTGCTCGGCCAGAGCTCCCTATGGGCGGAGGCTGGGAAGGCGCCCGCTTTCAAGGCCAAACTGGCTTAGGCGACAGGTGCCACCGCGGGCAGCCTTGTCGGGGCATCTGAGGAAGCCACAGCTACGGCATGGGGTGAGGGCGCCTGCCAAAGCCCCGAGCTCGCAGGATTCACTCAGAGCCGTCCCACGTACACTACACACCTAACTAGCAGTTAAACTAAAACAACAGGGGTTTTCTCCTTATTTCTGCAGTTGTGATTACACGTGGCTTGCAAAATGGCTGAGATGCTAGTGATATCGTTGCTTTTAAACTATACAGGTGTTATTCTTAATTCACAACGCTCTGAAGCAGGTAAGTGCTTTGAAAATACGACAATGAAGAGTTTTAGCACTAAGGTTTGATTTGCACCTAGTGATCAGTATGTCTCTCCTAACAGTAGCAATTAAAAAAAAAAAAAAAAAAATGTCTCTCCTAACAGTAGCAATTAAAAAAAAAAAAAAAAACCCAACTTTAGAATTCTGCGGCAGAATTCTAGGTTGTTATTTGACTTTTGAATTCAGTGCACTGCGCCACAAGCCAGACTGCTCTATGTTATGTACATTTAATGTGTACCCGAGAAGAAATTACTAGCACTATTGAAGATATTGCAAAATTGCCACAGTTACTGCTTAGAAATACTAATTTCCCTCTCTCCTTTCTTAAAGTATATATTACAACTCTCCCATAACTTAATGCAAACAAAGTAAATTCATTTCTTCTCACATCTTAAAGCAAAGGTATCTTTGTTTACATGCGAGAATAATAGTTCTATAATAACACCCCGGCCCTATGAGCCAGTTCTTTATATGAGGACATAATAATGAAACAATGATCTAGAAAGAGCCAGAGAGACCTACGCACTGGCACTGACACGAAATCCATTTGGAAGTTTTTTCTCTTGTAAAAGATATCTAAGATAGAGAATGGGACTGAGGGGTGAAATGACTCAAAAAAGTGGGGTTCTGTTTGCTAGGGAAAAAAAAGAACAAAGCCATTCTATTGCAAGATACAGATCAAAGGTTAAAAGGCAAATTATACTACATTTAGAGAATAAAAATGTAGTAATCCTCTATCCTCCGTACGGCACGTATGCAAGTGTGAACACACATTTTATGTTGGCCATAGGAAAAAACATCATGGAAAAACCACAGACTAAAAATGACTGAAAAGCCCCCTTTCCCTTTTTCAGTCTAATCATTTGGCATCTCTGAGTGTGGTACAGATTTAGACTTGAACCACCCAAGAACATCACGCTGTCTGTGTCAAGTGTTCGACAATACCTCTCAGTAGGACGTTGTTGCAAGGCTAGCTAATTTTAAATCTGGTATGAGTAATACAGTCAAACCTAGTTAGTATGCGAGAAAGTCGTTGCTAACGTGGAGTGAGAGGATGTGACGTCACAGCGTGAGCAGTCCCTGGTTGTCCCGTTGTCGGAAAACGTAGTGCATAGATCCAAGTTTCTGTTCCAGGTCTCGGAAGCCCAGGGCCGAGCCTTTCACTTCTGCTGGGTGGCCTGGAAGGCCTTCAGCTCCACCTGGTACCACTCCGGGGCTTCAGGCCCGCTCTTCCCTGGGGGGCTGTGGTCGTAGCCGTAGGCCACGGTGAGCTCCTCATCAGCCTCCACGGCTCGGAGTGTGCGGATGCATTTGATGGGCCCGAAACGGGGGTGGACAAACCTAGACATCAAGATACGCACAGTCACGGGGGGGTCAGATCGGGAGGTTAGAAGCAAGGCCTGGGGCGGGGGGTGTGTGTGGGGGGTGGGGGGGTAGGAATCATCCAGGAGCTCTTCCCTGGGCACCACTGGTAGGCCCTCACGTGTGGCCCACAGATTGGCCAGCATCAGCTTCACCTGGGTGCTGCTAGACACGGAGAATCCCGGCCCCACCCAGACCTGCTGACTTGGTGTCGGCATTTTAACAACACCTCCAGGTGATGCACATGCACGTTCCAGTTTAAGAAGCATTGCTCTAGCTTCCTCTTTGAGCGTATTTGGCACTCTGTATTTATAAACCAACAACATGGGCAACAACAAAAATCTATCCTTAATGAGAAACTGGACCCAGTGCAGCCGGTCGGCATTTCGGCCCACCTGGCCTGTGGCATCAGATTACCTGGCTGTGCCTTGTGGGCGAGGCTTTACCAGGACACTATGGGAGGTGTAAGGAAGAGCCCCGTGGATTTTCAAAAGCAAAAAACTGTATTCCACCCTCTACAGACAGAGGAAGTATTATTTTCTAGCATAAAAGTAGATGAAGACTTCTTTCCAGGAGCGAAGCCTAGACCTCTCTGCCAACCTGCTTTTTAAATATTTCCCTGTGAAGCATCTTGTGAAGGGAACAGCCTCGAGCCTTTCAGAACCCAAGGCAGGGCTAACGCTCTGTGTTCCTCTGCCAAAGGCTCCCAACCCGGTTCACCCCTATGACCCCTGCAGGAGAACAGGAGATAAATAAGGAATAGATTTAGCTCACCTAACAGCTTCTGAAACCCAGAACAGAAATACGTAAGGCATGGCCAGAAAGAAATTCACTTTCTCTCCATATGCATCTGGTCACATCAGTCTCATTCATTTATTGTCACATTGTGAGCAAAGGACTTGGAGACACCACAGGAGAAGCTTCCAGGCCCTAAGTTAGATTTGCACATGGGGCATGATAGCAAGGACCTGGCTGGTTCCCGCTATTGGTGGTGGGGAAAAGAGTGTGTCTGTGGTTTAGGGACATCTTTTATGTGAAGGACAAAGGAGCAAGCGCACCCTCACTCCAAGGGGCCTCTATGTCCACCCCACTTGGGTGTCATCTTTTCTGGAAAGCACGCTTGACTTGGGGTCAGAGACTTTAGCGTAAGTCCCGGTTCCACACATTATTACTGCCCCCTCTCAGAAAGCTCACTTCCACATCTCTGATTCTCACTTTCCTCACCCTCACCTCACGGTAATACTAGCAATCCTAATGGTGTAAGAGTTGTCACTGTGACAAAATAGGGTCCCATATAGGAAGCATCTCACACAGGGCCTGGCACAAAGTGAGGACTCAGCTTCTACTAGTGACTACGTGTGCACATCTGTGAGTTAGTGTGCGTGTGCACAGAATTCTCATATTGTGCTCCATCACAGACATTCCTGCACCAGGGATTCGGGAAGTCCTTATTAAAATCACAACTCTTGGGGCACCTTGGTGGCTCAGTCGGTTGGCCATCCGGCTCTCGGTTTCAACTCAGGTCATGATCTCGGGGTCCTGGGATCGAGCCCCATGTGGGGCTCCCCGCACAGCGGAGAGTCTGCTCGTCTCTCTCTCCCTCTTCCCCAGCTTGTGCTCTCTCTCTCTCTTCAATAAATAAATAAATCTTTTAAAAAAATAATAAAATCACAGCTCTTTGTCTCTAAATTAAAATATTGCATTACAAAAATAATACCCCTGAAACGGAGCTCTAGCTAATCTTACTGCACACTGAGAAAATTCCATTAGAAACCTAAGACTTGTGATATAAACCTCTTTTATTTTCATTTTCCCGCTTATTATTTTCAAAGAGTAGAAAAAGGACAGACTGTAAAGAAGGCACTCCATTTCAGGTGCTGATTCTCCCAGGCAGCACGGGGGCACAACGCTTAAGGACACTCAGCCACTGCGGCTAAGAGCTCCGTGTTTCTGGTCTGTTGGCGGGGGGGCGGGGAGGTAGGTAACGGAGGTTGCCCCACGGAGGTCCTGGGAGGCCTGAGTGAGAGAATTCATGAGACGGTGTTAGCGTGGCACCGGCCCAAAGTGCTCAATCAATGCCAGTAGCACGATTAGTGGCCAAAGCAAACCTCTCTGTACCCAGTGGTTTGGGACCTTGGCGACATGTCACCTCTATTGACAACTAGGGCAGTAGTTCATGTCTGCTTGTCCATTTGGATTTTGTACCGGACTGCAGCTTATACAGGGATATTGCTTTGCTGATGTTAAAGTGTGCATAATGATACCAATAATTTTAGAAGCAAATGAATGCCATGAATCGGTATCTGAATTTTATATTTTATTATTTTTCAGGTAGTCTTCCCTTTACCCCAAATAACTAATTGTTCACATTGGGCTGGAAGGAAATAACCCTGACGAGTCTGGGGACTTGATTTTGCACAAATGGATCTCTCCCTTGTCTCCCGTGCGCTCTTCTTTTTGGTGAGAAAAACGATGTCCTTGCAGTGAAATCACAGAACTCGTTTGTTTTAAAAGAGTAGCTGTTAAAAGAGTAGTTGAAGTAGCATTTGTTACTGTTAGTTACCACTGCTTTAAAGGATTGTTGGGAAGCCGTGTGCAGCCTGGAACGATGCTTTGGCCTAATTCACATTGGCCACGAAAGCCTTGGAGTTAATAACAGTGTCGGTTTCATTTCACATGACACATGTCCTTTGCCATTTCTACCCGCCCTTTAAACAGAAGTCGGAGCTGCAGTACTTGGTACTGGCTGCCAAGGAGAGCAAGTCCCTGCCAGAGCAATTTCCAAGCCGTCTCAGGGATGCGAGGAGGGACATTCATATCCTGGCAATTTTCCTACAGATTAAATGCACATGATTGGATCCTGCTTCTGTTAACAAGCAATAGACAGGGGGGACTGAGAGCTATAACTGAGCAGAAAAGGTGGCATGTGGCCGCCTGCCTCCCAGGGGGAACAGGCATTTTCTGGCTGAGCTAAGGAGATCAATGATGATGATCCAAGGAATGCCACGTACTCTTCAAGGAATAGTCAGAGATGCTTGACTTTGGGAGGAGAACATTCAGGGGGCATATGAAAGCTTCTAAAATATTTGTAGGGCTACTATGTCGAAGAGAGACTGGCATAGTGCATAGGGGAATAATTAGGGCGAAGGGCTGGATGTTACAGGGAAACCCATTTGGGCTTCATAGAAAGAACATTTTAATCATCAGAGCCTGAAAGTTAATTTCAGAATAATATCTATGTCAGTTTGTCCAGATAGCTGCCTTCATGGATAACAGTAAGCTCCCCATCAAAGGAGGTTTACAAGAAGAGGTTCAGTGAGCCGTTGGAAGGGGAGGGCTCAAACTCTGAGAGGTAGGACTATTTGACTTTTTAAAATGACAGCTTTTTTGAGATGCAATTCGTATACCCTAAAAATTCACCCATTTGAAGCATACAATTCAGTGGGTTTCAGGCAGGCAACCATCACCACTGTATGATTTTAGTACAGTGTGCTACCCTCCAAAGAGACCCCATACTCATTAGCCATCAACCCCAGTTTCCCGGGCCCTGGACAACCACTGATCTGTACTCTGTCTCTATGAATTTCACTGTAATGGACAAGTCCTATCAATAATAGAATCATACACTATCGGGACTCATGTGACTGGCTTCTTACACTTAGCATAATATTTTCAAGGCTCATCCACACTGTAGCATGTGCCAGTATTTCTTTCCTCTTTATTGTCAAATAATGGGGACTCTGATTTAATCCGTCTTTTCCAACACCAACACCTTGTGCTCTAGGCTTGGCATTTTATTTTCTTCCTTCCTTCCACAACATAAAAGAGTTCACGAGTCTCCACTGCGCAGAATAATTTTAATTTTTCTAATATTTCAAGTAACACTATCCTTAATTTTCCAGAATGAGAACACTGAAGGGCAAAAAAGCATCGACAAAACAGCAACCAGGAAGTGTCGCATTTCCATAGCATTTCTACCCTTCCAAGCACTTTGCCCTGTCTGAGCTACCAAAGCCAGGGAAGGGGCTGTTTAGACTCCGAGTGTCAAGTCATAACCGGGAGACATCTGGGAGAGGAGCCTCAGGAACTCGGAGGGAGCAGCCTTCACCTGGGGCAGGATGACAGCTGTGACAGGCCCTCGTCAGTCGCAGGGCCCCGGGAGATGGGGCCCAGATCCACCCTGGAAGCTGGGTGTCATACTCACATATCGTAGATGCAGTTTGGAGTGAAGGAGTGATTCGCCTTGTGTCCCAAGGAGGCACAGTACTTGGACACATGGTTGTAGGGCTCAGGCACATCAATGACCGTTTCTTCATCGAGGGAGAGGGTATTCCCATTAAGAGCCCAGTCCCTGCTGTCAACCTGCAGAAAACAAGAAAGCTAACGTTAGATAGGGCCTTTCTCCCCAAATCTCAGAGAACATCAGCAACACTACTCATTTCTCCTTACGTTTTGCTGTGTGAGTGCTAGATGCATGAAAAGAACCCAAGGCATTGCTCCGCACATCGATGGTGCGAAAGCCGTTTGTGGGCAGCATCAGGCAGCTCAACTTCTTACGTACTGACTTCCTCATCTTACGTGAGAAAAAGGACTAAAGTCCCCGACAAAGACACACAAAAATATAACCTGATGTCCCTAGGTGGTTTATTTCTTCACTGCAGGCTAAGACCTATCACCTCCAAAGCCCTCCAGCACCAAACTCAAATTTACACATCCAGTTGTTCTTTAAAAAGCCCAAACAAAGCAGAGCTTTAGCCACTTCGGACCTGCTTCCCCTGGGACACCTGACCCCACATCTGCTAGCAGACTGGTGAGAGAAAGCCCAGCACCACAAAGCCTCCAGACTGCCTCTGGCCTTCGGAGCTCTGTGGCCCAGAGACTCCTCTTTGCACTACACGTCACCTAGACACGACAGCCCCCTCTCTGACCATCTCTTTCCTGGGAGTTCCCTGCCCTCCTCCTGCTCCGGATGGGGGCCCCTGGGCCACAACCCCTGGACCGTCTCGGGCTGGCAGGACGTCCCCTCTCTTGCCTCCCTGTCCAAGCACTGCCCCGTGTCAGGGAATCCTGTTGTGTGTTACTGCCTCCTATGGTCGGATCTGCTGCTCTGACCAACCCCCAGATCCCTGGAAGCCCCACTGTGAAGAAGATGAGGCAAAAGAAACACACAAGAACATCAAATGGAACTGCAACTATGAGGAATGCAAAATCGTGCTTCAAGCAGAGTCCTTCACCTTTGTTACAAGTGGGGGATCAGTGTGACCTGCAGATGGCGTCACCCATTCCCAGTGTGCTCTCTTACCCACACTCACTCTCTGCAGGGCACCAAGAGTCTTCCCTTCTCCAGCCCACCGCCCTACTCCAACCCACACCCCAGCATCTGCTGAGGTCAGGAGAGCAGTTTTTTGGAGCAAACAGGATTACATTAAAAACAATTTTTAAAAAGATTTTATTTATTATTTTAGAAAGAGAGAGAGAGAGCAGGGGGAGGAGCAGAGAGAGAGGGACAAGCAGACGTCCTGCTGAGCAGGGAGCCCCAAATGGGGCTCCATCCCACAACCCTGAGATCTTGACCTGAGCCGAAACCAAGAGTCAGAGGCTTAACTGACTGAGCCATCCAGGCGCCCCTAGGATCACATTTTTATATAGAACTGCTGACTCTCAGAGATATACTGCCTCTCCTGCCCTCAAATTATAATTATGCTGTTATTTGTTTCTGATATTCATCCAACAAATATTTACTGAAAAAAAACCATATGCCAGGCACTGTTCTAGGTGTAGGGGATACAGCAGTGATTAAAGTGAAAAAAATCTTCATGGATCTTAATACTCCAGCCCTGTTATGTGAACTGATATATGGTACTTGGTACCATCTACCTTATGTTGCCATTACTTGTATATTTTTCTTATCTCCCCAACAGAATCTAAAGATTTATTTATTACTTTAGAGAGAGAGCGGGAGGAGGGGGAAAGGGAGAGAGAGAATCTCCAGCAGACTCCCCCCTGAGCACGGAGCCGGATGCAGGGCTTGATCCCATGACCTGACATCAGGACCTGAGCCAAAATCAAGAGTCCAACTGACTGCACCACCCAGGCACCTCTCCCCAACAGAATCTAAATTTCATGAAGGCAAGGAGGGTGCCCCATTCATTTCCACAGCACAGCATATAGTGAGTTTTGCCAGGAGCCAGATTCTATTTGAAATCCTGCTTGAACTCTGCTACTTACTGTATTTGTGACCTCGGACAAATGGCTCACCCACTCTGGGTTTTAGTTTTGTTATCTGTAAAGTGTTAGAATAAATAGATAGTGTATCAATATCCTGAGCCACCTTTCATATGCTGAATTTCCTGGACTGTCAGGATTGCGGACACAGAGGTCTGGCCATCACCAGTACCGCATGCCAGACCATGGCTCAGTGTGAGCGCCAAGCCGTCTTTGTCTGTATGACGGCTTTGAATGGGCAAACACTTGATTATTTCACGGCATTTCCCCCGTAGCATTCCATAGCAATAAGTGAAAAAGGGAAGTACATGAATGAGGGATATGAGCAACAAGCCCAAGTCCCACACCCTTAATGCAAGTGAGACCAGATGGAGACTACAAACCGGACTCAAGCCCCAGACTTTTTGCCCTTAAGTGGACATGTAAGGAAGTAATTGTTTTTTTTTGAAGCAAAAACAAAAACACCTCTGAATTCTGGAAAATATATCAAAGATTGTATTTTTTTTAAAGATTTTATTTATTTATTTGACAGAGAGAGACACAGAGAGGGACGGAGCACAAGCAGGGGGAGTGGGAGAGGGAGAAGCAGGCTTCCCGCGGAGCAGGGAGCCTGATGTGGGACCCGATCCCAGGATCATGACCAGAGCCGAAGGCAGACGCTTAACGACTGAGCCACCCAAGGCGCCCGATCAAAGATTGTATTTTAAAGGCAAGAGGTGATTATTCTTTAACTTTTTATTTTCAGCTTTTTGGGCAATAGAACCCTTCCTGGCTGGATGTAGGCTACTATATGACTTTTGCACAAACAGAAGTAGGGAGCCTTCCCATAAAGTAGCCTGTGCAAGATCATAAATTAATTATTGACCGAATCCAGTTGGGTCTCAATTTTTCAGACACTGGGTGTAGTACGGTACAAAGCAATTGCTGTCTCCTGGACGGGCGCCATCCCACTTTCTATAAAGTAGCTGTGAAACTTAAAAGAGACCCCAGAGAGTTCCCCTGTCCCTCCCACCATGTGAAGCTGCAATGAGAGAAAAGAGCCATTTATGAACCAGGAAGTGGTTTCTGACCAGACACCAAATCTGCTGACATGCTGAAGTTGGGCGTCCAGCCTCCAGAACTGTGAGAAATAAATTTCTGTTGTTTATGGGCCACGAGAGAGAGAGAGAGAGAGAGAGATTAAGACTTTATTTATTTGAGAAAGAGGGACACTGAGAGAGAGAGAGAGAGAGAGAGAGAAAGCACAAGCAGGGGGAGCAGCAGGCAGAGGGAGAGGGAGAAGTAGACCCCCCTCCCCCAACACACAGCAGGGAACCTGATGCGGGACTCGATCCCAGGACCCTGGGATCATGACCTGAGCCGAAGGCAGACACTCAACTGACTGAGCCACCCAGGTGCCCCCAGTGTATGGTATTTTTGCTATAGAAATCTGAAGACTGCTGTAAGACAATATCCCATCAATTTTACAAAAAAAGACTGTTTATTCCTTCATATTTCTAGTGAATACTAAAGTAAAGGGGCTAACAGGAAAATTAAGAGTGTTTGAAACCAAGCCCTGTAACCAATCAAGTTGATTCTCCACTTAGACCCCGCTCACCTCTTGGTGTGTAATCCGGACTCCATTATAAAAAGACATAACAGTATTAGGTCCCACCGCTACCTTTGAAAATAGTCCTTCTCCAGCACTGGAAATGAGAGATTCAGCAACATAAACCCTAAATAGAAAAAAGGGCCAAATGATGGTTCTTTTAGTTGGATATGTCACTCTTTATATCAACCACCAAAATATCAGAATAGCTAATGAATCCGAGGCATCAGTTCATAGTAATCCAGGGAGGAAGGGAGGATGAGAAGTTAAACCACAGTATTTGGCACTGAAAACTGAAGAACTTGTACTCATGTATCTTTAAGAGTGGTGTTTAAAATCTGCTCCCTGATATGGGGATTATTATATAGAGTCGACCCTTGAACAACATGGGTGTGAACTGTGCAGGTCCACTTACATGCGGATTTTTTACAGTACTGAAAATGTCTTCTCTTCCTTATGACTTTCTTTTCTTTCTTTTTTTTTTTAAAGGTTTTATTTTTAAGTAATCTCTCCACCCAACATGGGGCTCCAACTCACAACCCCAAGATCAAGAGTTGCAGCCTCCACTTGACTGAGCCGGACATGCACCCCCCCTTTCTGATTTTCTTGATAACATTTTCTTTTGTCTAGCTGACTTTATTGTAAGAACACAGTGTATAACACATATCACATACAAAATACGTGTTAATCAACTGTTTATGTTATTGGTGAGGCTTCCAGTCAACAGTAGACTCTTAGTAGTTACGTTTTTGGGGAATTAAAAAGTTACATGTGGATTTTCAACTGCATGAGGTAGGGATAGGGGTCGGTGCCCTAACCCCAGTGTTGTTCAAGGTTTCACTGTATTCATAAAGCAATGTTTGATATAAGGTTTTTTTTTAATTTATGTTTTTAGCTAATGAATATTTTCACTGTCTTCCTGGGTAAGTAAAACATTTCCAAAGTAATTAAAGCTATACCCAAGTTTGTCAATGCCAAATAGGAGGGAAAGACTGTTTTAATTAAGCCCCAAGATGAATCTTTCACATGAAAGAGTGACAAACAATTAACAAAAACATATCCAGTAAGCACTTCCCAACAAAAGAGTTCATAACGGGTCTAGTAACTATGGCCCCAGGACCACATCTGGCAGCTGCACCCTTTTGTAAATAAAATTTTGTGGAACACAGCCACACCTATTTATTTAGTATTGTCGGTTGCTGCTTTGGGGTGACATAAGCAGAGCTGAGCAGTTGCAACAGAGACCCACAAAGCCTAAAATACGGACAACGTGGCTCTTTACAGAAAGAGTTTGCCAATCCCTGGATTTACAGGAAAACAGCACTCATGACTACTGAACTGGATTTAATAAGAGAGGACACGCCCCATCAACAACTATTTCAGTTCTCTGGGCACTGGGATTCAATGATTCTGGTGGAACCTGTCATCTTTAGTTTTTGTTACATGGATCTTAGGGCTTATTTTGTAGACTAGGGGACTGAATTATTGCTTCCAACTCTTTCCTCCTTCCCTGTGGTAGAATTAAACGTCCTACTATTTAGCCACGTGACCTTGCGGTGCCTCCTTCAGAGTGAGGAGACGAGATGTACCCCTGCCTCAATCCCTGTGGGCTTGGCCGTAGGATCTACTTTGCTACCTGAACATGGGCAGGAGGACTGCATGCCAGGTATCAGGTGGTAAGAGGCATGGCGAATTTCTGCCAGCCTCCTTGAATTTCCATTCATCTCCATAGGAAGAAGATGCCCCAGGGGGCTGTTCCTCCTTTAGTCTCAGTCTTGGAATTCAGACATGAGCCCAGAAGAGCCCAACTTGCAATCTGGAGTCCAGCCTCGTCCAGCTGAGCCAAGGGGAGCCGAGTGGAGCCCAGTCAAAAGTGACTGAACCTCAGCTAACCTACAGAACCACGAGTGTAAAATAAAATGTGTGCATTCATAAACCACTGCGAGTTTTGAGGGCATCCTTCTACAGCCTCATCACAACGACAGTAACAAAAAAGACTGATATATACGATTATCGCGCTACTGTGTTTCGGGGCTACCAAGACACTGAACCCTTCCCTTTGTAAATGGACCAGAGCTCTGCATCAAGAAAGAGGCCATTCATTCACTATGACATTGTGGTGTGAGCCTTGTCAGTTCAACCACGGAAGAGGCCTATTTTCAGATGGGAACAGAACAGAAAGTGAGTGGAAGTTATGCTTTGCAAGCAATGCTTACAAAGAGCAAGGCAAAGAGAAAACCAACCGCAGATGGCTCTCTTCCTCACCAACAGGCCAGTTGCTAGGGGATAAGAGTCTCGGGCAGAGTACCAGGGAAAGCCACACCAACAACGGAGAGCTGGAGTTTAGGGAAGATGGACTGGAACGGGACTTGACACTTGGGGAGTGAGCTTAGAGAATCAGAAGCTTGTCATTTGTACACTGGAAGCTTCTTATGCTTCTTACAGTCTTTCTTTCACTGCTGTTCTCCCTTCGTGAATCAAGAAATTGTCTTGTGTTCCAGACCCCCTCGGCGGGGCTGAGTAAAGAAGGCATTCTGGTTCCTGCCCAGGCTACAGCTTTAAGGAGTAATGCTCCTCTAGAGGCCAGCACATGGCTGCAGCATCAACAGCACCAGGGCCCCAAGAAAGGGGACGTTGGGGCAGGGCATAGTGGGCTCTCTATATGTAGAAGTTTCCTTCTGGGACTGACACATGGTCGTTCTGTCCTTTATGGGTGGAGAAACTCTCTCACAACGACAGATGCAATATAAGCATAAAAACACTCTTCCTCAGAATATACGAATATTTTCTTCTGCTCAGAGGGCTACAAAGGAGGATTAGTTCCCACCAGGAGGGTTATTTAACTTCCCATAAACAATGCCGTTCAAACCACAAGGAAAAAAGTTACCTCTCTGATTCATATGGATCTGGAAGAAGAACACTGGTAGAAATGCAAGATGATGTCGATTTATCAAAGTGGTACACCGAACCTGAAAAGCAAGCGAACATCTCAATCTAGAGATTACCGAGTTAGGGGAGAGCTTTTAAAGCAGGAGTTAAATAATGAAAAATGTTATTCAAATTACACTGACTAGAATAAATTCTCCAATATAAATGAACAGTTTTTAGATTTGCTTTTGAGTTTTATTTTTAGGTCTTAATGAACAGCCATCAGATGTATCTCTTAAAATCCCATTTTTGCCTTTGAATTTTCTTTATTCAAATGGTTTACAAAATGCTTGTGTAATTAAAATTTTTTAATCAAGAACCTGCTTTGTCATGGAATTTTGAGATCTCTCTGGTCAGATCAGGTTGGATGATGGTTTTAAAATTTTCTTGTGATTTTCTTCCTATTAGACACAGGCTGTAGACTCCAACCATCCAACCCCAGCAACTGTCCCCTTCGCTAAAAATAAACCTTCGCACATCAAAAACTAATGATGTAATGTATGGTGATTAACATAACAATAAAAAATTTAAAAAAAATAAAAATAAAAATAAACCTTCGCCTCACCAGAATTAAGAACAGAACTGCTTTTGATAAAGAAAAACCAAAGTCTTCTTATTTCTATCAAGGTGGTTCAGACACCAATCAGTAATTTATTCAGAAACTAAGGTACACAACTGTCCTAGAACTAACATTGGTTCTCTGCAAAGGATTAGCCTCCAGGAATCCTCCCAGAGCGCAATGAAGACATCTGATGCTCTAATGCCTAATAAGCAAAGAAACACATTTTAGAACCGAAGGGCTTACTCTTGTAAAGTAAATTCTTTTAGGCACTAACGCATCACAAATCATCCCGTTAAGCAATTCCTCAGCGGTTACCAGGTCCTCCTTCTGGTTTTTGCTTGTTTGTTTGGTACCATCACAAAACCCAAATCAGGGTCTCAAACTAAAAGTTAAAAAGCAATCCAGATCAGTCCGTGTCTAGCTAGGAAACAGACCATTTGCGTATTTCAAAGACAGAATTTCACTTAGGGAACTGGTTATAGGGAGCACTGAGGAACTGAGAAGCCGAAGGGGTCAATGAGGAGCCTAGAGACTGGCAGGAGCTGAAGCCACATAACCCTAAGCCAGAGGGACAAAGGTGGAGGTGGTGTGCCTGGGGCTCTAGAGCTGGGGTATACTGGCCCAGGGAAGCTGGGATGCGGGGGCGCTTTCCTGGTGGGAGATGGAGTCAGAAGACAGGCCCCTGCTGGAGATGCTGCTGGACACAGAGAGAGAGCTTCTTCCTGATGCTTTTCCTCTCCGTGGCCCTGGCCAGTGCCTCTCTGTGGCCAAACCCAGACAGAAGCCAACGCACAAGAGCCTAGGCAATGTGGCCTTCAAGGAGCAGAAGCCCCCCTGCAATAAAAGCAGGGCAGGAGAAAGACAAGAAATGCATCTGAGAGCAAACTGGTAATGGACCAAACGCACAATCCGTTAAAGCAAGTTAGCTGAAAAAAGAAAGAAGCCACACTTTTTAACCAGACTTTTCTGTGAAATACTTGTTCTATTGTGCAGAAAATCTCCTCTGAACTTCCCCTCCCCTCCTTAGACTAAATCTGTCATCCAAAGTACCATGGGCCAGCTACATGGAAAGCCCCACGTTAGGGACGGTACAGATGCAAACAGGAGGGACATCTCTGGCTGCCTTCAAAGAGCTGACGCCATCTTTTCTGACACACGCTGTCCCTTCCTATTCTTCCCCCATTGGCCAATGGACCAACGCTCCGGGCACACGGAGCACACTCTTTACTTATCCCCCTCTCCTCTGTAATTTATACTATGCCAGACCAGAATTCATTCATTTCCTTGACAGACTTGAATTCTAAGCCTTAAAGACAGCACAGGAATTACCAGAGAAAGGAGTTCCTCTGCGGAGAGGGGAAGAGATGAGGCAAGAAAAAAGTCCAGCCTGAGCCCTGACGAGGAAATCAGCGTGCAGGAGTGGATAGCTAGAAGCAGTCTGCGGTTACAGAAGCATGAAGAGAAAGGGTGTGGGGAGAGGTCAGCGAGGGGCAGGTTGGGATACCTGCCTTACGTTTTCCTTCTTCTCCCCACACCGGACCAGATGGTGGCAGGGCCCCGTCAGACCTGGTCCACAGCTCACTCACTGTTAACTGCGAGGGGGTGGGGGGGTAGACGAGGAGTGCCCAACACCGAAGGCCCGTGTCCCTCCCAGGCACCCGAAGCGGCCATGCTTCCCGACGCTTGTGAAACCCAAACTGCTCAACATGTCCTCAAATTAACAGGCCTACCAGAATCTTACCAAGAATCATGCGCCTTCTCCCCACCTTTTTTGTGGTCTTAAGTTAAAGTGAAGAGAGTGTTTGTTATTTACAAGCAGGAGTTCTTTTTTTTTTTTTTTAAGATTTTAGTTATTTATTTGAGGGAGAGAGAGAGATAGTAAGAGAGAGCATGAGGAGGGGTGGGGGAGGTGGCAGAGGAAGAGGGGGAAGCAGACTCCCCCACAGAGCAGGGAGCCCAATGTGGGACTCGATCCCATGACCCTGGGATCATGACATGAGCTGAAGGCAGATGCTTAACTGACTGAGTCACCCAGGTGCCCCACAACCAGGAATTCTAAGAAAAATAACCCTTTGAGAATTATCACCCTTGCTTCCCAAAATCTGTTGCTTACTCACACCAAGAAGAATGTAAAGAGAACAATAACTTCTCTTATGCTGTTGTATAGTAGGTGCCAATATCTGTGTTTTATGATGAAGAAACAGGTTCCGAAGGGATAAATAACTTGCCCAAGACCATACTACGGTAAACGTTGAAGCTGCAACCCAAATCAGGTGACTCTCAAGTTCACGTGGCTCTTGCCACTAAAACATGCTGCTACTTCTTAAGTTTTAAAATGGGCATCACCCACTGGGATCCTCCCCTGGCCCGGGGCCCCTCACGTCTAAACACGGTAGCACTGTTTCCGTTCAGAACATATGTGAAGAGCACAGAGAATAGAATCAGAAGTGTAAAGATGACTGTTTCACTTAAAATTTTTCATTTTGGAATGATTTTAAATTTACAGAAAAGTTGCAAAGATAGGGGCGCCTGGGTGGCTCAGTCATTAAGCATCTGCCTTTGGCTCAGGTCATGATCCCAGGGTCCTGGGATCCAGCCCCGCACTGGGCTCCCTGCTCTGCGGGAAGCCTGCTTCTCCTTCTCCCTCTCCCCCTGCTTGTGTTCCCTCTCTCGCTGTGTCTCTCTCTGTCAAATAAATAAATAAAATCTTTAAAAAAAAAAAAAGTTGCAAAGATAGTACAGAGCACCCCAATACTCCTCACGGTTTCTTGTAATGGTAACTTCTTATGTTACATGGTATGTTTGTCAAAATTAAGAAACCAACATAGATACGTTACTACTAACTAAACTTCGAACTTTATTCAGATTTTACCAGTTTTTCCACTAATGCCTTCTTTAAAAAAAAGGATCCAGTCCAGAATCCCACATTGCATTTAGGCCGCCTCAATTTTTAACTTAAAAAAACAAAAAGTGAGACATTTAAAACAACCAAGTTGGACCTAAGTGTAAATGCTAGATTTCCTAGTTTTGGACATTCTCCTCTGGAGATTCTCCTTCAGATCACAAATAGCTAAATATTATTTAGGACTACTTAGCATAGATTTATTATCTTCTCTACTTTTTTTCTCCGTATAACCTAACTTAGATGGGGCATACATGCATACATTGCTTTCAAGAAATGAGACCAATTTAAACAGATTTCATTTGTTACGCTACCCAAAATACAAAATCTTGGTTTTTTTCCTTGTTTTTTTCCAGACTTTCTACAATAATTTATTTATTTATTTATTTTAAAGATTTTATTTATTTATTTGACAGAGAGAGAGAGCGAGAGAGGCAACACAAGCAGGGGCAGTGGGAGAGGGAGAAGCAGGCTTCCCGCCGAGCAGGGAGCCCAATGGGGGCTGGATCCCAGAACCCTGGGATCATGACCTGAGCCGAAGCCAGACGCTTAACGACTGAGCCACCCAGGCGCCCCTAATAAATAATTTTATACTCAGAAAAAAAAAAATGCTTAGTATGCTATACTGTACTTCTAAAAGGATAAAGGATTTTTTTTTCTAATATGGATTCCACTGGGCTCACTCATGTATCCAGTATGTGCCCCGTGAAGATGCTGGGCTCTGAAGAAGGCAGGGGTTGCCAACATGCATTTATCTTTCCCAATCAGAGGTCAGGCTGAATCAGTTTTACAATTTGTACCAACCTGGAGATGTACCTAATTTGATTCTTTAATATCATTAAACTGTATTTCAGTTTTTTCTGAGATCTAACCTTTTGAGATGCATTGAATTTACTGCTGTCATTTCTTCACTTCTTCCCTGTATTTGAATATATAGCTATGCCTTTATCATGTGACTTTTTAGCACGTGCTATTGAAATGCATGGTATCTATTTCCCCATCTGACTGATATTTGGTTTGGTTGTGCGATCTGCTTTGACCAATGAAAAGTGGCTGAAAGTGACAGCATGACCATTGCAAGCTAAGCTTTCAGAAGCAGCATAGGTGTCTACTCATGCTCTGGCTTCTTGGGACCCACTTGGGAAAATCTTGACCCAGGTCACCACAGTCCTTTCAGACTGGGCCCCAGAATTAAGACATATAAGGCATAATAAGATAAGAAGCCTCAAGTCCAGCCATGTCCAGCCCAGCCCAGCCTGACCCAGCTGGAATACAGCTCGTCAGCAGACTTATATTTGAGGACATGTCTGTTATACAGCAAGGCTGATTATTAGTACACGATTCAAGTGGACTAGACAAATTAATTTCTCTCAAATATGCCCTAACAACCTGCTTTGGAATTGGAGCAGCCCATCTGAAACAGATCTGACTTACTTCCCGGCATCAACTCAAAGTGAGGCCTTCCTTCTTCAGTGGACATAAGGGTAGCCAGTTTTCCCTCTATCATCTCTCCATCAATGAATTTTCCATAAAGTGCTGTCCTCTCATCAGGGTACACATAGGCTATCTTCTCTCCAGTCAGCTCCCCATCTTCATTTACTTCTCCCACAAGGCTGCCTCCATCCTGATGGGAGAAACCAAAAGCCAGAAAATATTATATGTAGTATTTATCCATATGACGCGACTTCAAGGAATTTTTCTTGCGTGCTCCCATCATTGATAGCGCTAACATTAACAGTTGAACTCAAAGCTTTCACGTGAGAAAAACATGATGCATACCTCCCCATGCAGCCCCATACAAATAAACTGCTAGAAGTTACACACATAGAAGTACAGAAGCCTGATTTAGGGAGTCAGAGACTGAGCCGCACTTTATAATCCTGACAAGTTACTCTATCTTGGTTCTTTATCTAAGAAGCAAATGCGTTGTATTTGTAATATTAGTTACAAACATTTAAAGGAAATGTAACTATGTGTTAAACTGTGGGCCCATATCCAATGTGATGAGGATCTATAGCAAGATGGTTTTACCCGCTATTCATACCATCTCACTTACTCTCCATGTGGGATTTTGGATTTCTGGTCTACTAAGAAAATCTTCAGTTCAAATGTATTCAAGAATTAATTTAGTGTACGTGAGTAAAGAGAGTTGTCTGCATGTTCTAGGAGATAAACAAAAGGGACTTGTGGATACTGCCTTTCTAAGAATCCCACACCGTCACTTTAAAAGGCATTACAAGGAAAAGTGAAAAAAAATAAACTAAATCCTATTCCCTTCCCCATCATCTCTTTCTTCCCACTTTTATTTACCGCTCCCTTCTGTCTCCTTCCAGGAGCGAAGCCAGCTGTACTTCCTGCTTAACTGTCACTTGCTTTCATTCCGAAGGGTCATTAAATACTTTAGGGCAGAGGCTCTGATAGAATTCTGTATCCTGGTAAGTGCCGGGGACACGGTAGGTGATCCATAAATGACTTTTGAATTGAACTGGGATACCAAAAAATAATCTAATAAATAATCAAAAAATAACTGAATCTAGGGTGCAAGCGACGTTTCCTGAACTGAAAATCTGAGACCCATGTGGGTTCAATATAACAATACTAACGCCATGACATCTTCTAAAAGCTTGGTTATTTCTCCAAATCAAAGGTTCTAGAAACAGCTACTCAAAGTCAGTGGTGTAGGATGACTTCTGAGTGATCTCAAATGCTGTTTACTGAGAGACAGCAGGAATAAATAACATCAGGTACCTGATTTCTACAGCTCACCATAGTCTAATTGCTCTTTGGAGGAAAAAAGGTTATAAATTTAAAAACAAACCACAGCACTTTCATAGAGAGAAAAATACTTGGCAGCATTTTTAAGGCATAGAAAGTGCCTTAAAGTTATATGCTTGCTCTTTCTCCTCCCAGAGTTAATTCTTAATAAGCCAGCATAAATGGGGATGATACTTTCTGCAAGATCTGCCTTCAGGCTTTCAGTGGTGATTACTGAGCTGAAGGGCGTTAGAGCATTTGCGTGTCTAACATGCCATAATTTTTTTTTTCCAACGTCTCGACTTATTTGTGCAGAATTCTGTCTTTCTAGGCTCTCACGTTTTTTTTTTCCTTAAGTACTTTAAACTTTTGGTCAGGGAGGCGATGAATCTATTTGTCTAGTATGATAAAGCAGAGTTTCTTCTTTTATTTCCAAAAGGAGGTATACATTTTTTTTTAAAGATTATTTATTTATTTGTGAGAGAGAGACAGAGATAGTGAGAGAGCGCATAAGCGGGGAGGAGAGGGAGAAGCAGGTTCCCTGCCGAGCAAGGAGTCAGATGCGGGACTCGATCCCAGGACCCCGGGATCATGACCTGAGTGGAAGGCAGACACTTAACTGACTGAGCCACCCAAGTGACATCATTCTGAAAGAAATAAGCTGTCTTGAGAGTAAGCTTATAAATAGTATAAGGCGAATCATTATTTTCCCTCCTCTTGTTCCTGCTTTGACTCCGTATCACAAAAATGTCCTTGTCTGCTGTGTCAGGCAGTGTCGGGGAAGAAGCTGCTACCTTCTCTCCTCTGCTCGGTGGCTCCTCTTCATGGGAGAAGGAATCATTCGATTAGTGAGAAGGCAGAGTCTGACACCCACTGACACCCATCTCTTTATTGGGTGGGGGTTAGCAGGATAAAGCCTGCTGCTCCCAGATGTCCTGCGACATTTTCACTCACGCTGTCCCGGCAGGCTGCACCTGTTGCCCACTCCTGTCCTGTTCTTTCCTTGGGGAAGCTCCCCAGGCAGGCCCTACTCCCCCGGGGGGCGACCTGCAACTTTCTAGAGCTCTATCTGCCGCTGATCCAACTGTTCAGTTCAGACGGGGAAAGAATAGAAGCCCATTTTGACTTTGGGTCCACATCACATCTCCAATCCCCCACTGCTGTTATAATGTAAGCATCTTGATCTCTGACACCTGAAGACATAGGTGTCTTAGTTGATTCTGAATCCAGAGAGAAGAGGGGTGTGATCAGCCCCCTCAACTGCCAACAGATACCATATATAAAGCAAGTGTTATCCCAAGTTAATTTTGGAAGCTCATAACACCCTAGTGCTTCTTTCCTAAGGCAGAGTCTTCTCTTGGCATTTAATAAAATAATAATGAACACCAAAGACTAAAATGTAGGTGCACCACTTAGGTGTCAAGATGCAACTACACTGAGTGAAATGGATCCATTCACCTTGGTGCATCTTTGATCTCCTCTAGAGACTTTAATTGATCAGAGTCACAAGTAAGATGAGGTAGGAGGAGGGCTCTTTCCTGTACCCAGGCTCCCGCCAAGAGCTCCACTTTCTCTGACTTTATGATTCACTGTCATGTCAGCAGATCCCCAGTCCCAGGCAGCAAGATGCTCACCCGGCCTACTCATGAGGCAACAAGTCTCAGTCTTCCTAAGCTGGTAAGTACCTCCACGACGTCCCTCTTCCTGCCTGCCTTACAGGCAGTAACCCAAAGGACTCCTGACCTATCACAGAGCCTACCAAGAAGATATGTAATTGCTTTGGTAATTATTTTAAAAATGTTTTACAGTATTCTTTCCTTAAGCCCTGTTCCTAGAGTATAGCTTGTTTTTAAAGAACAATAATGTGTAAGTAGATTTAGCTGGGGCTACTTTTCTTATTACACACGTAATAGATCATTTGTTTTTATTAACATTTTTTTAATCATAAGAAGATAGGGTTCAGAGTAAGAAAAATTTTTTTTTTTTTTTTCTTAAGCACTGGACAAAATAAAATATTACTATTATTATTTTTAGTTTTTTTTTTTTTTTTAAGTAAGCTCTATATCCAACACGGGGCTCAAACTCATGACCCCAAGATCAAGAGCTGCAAGCTTTACTGACACAATGAGCTAGGTGCCCTGGACAAAATAAAATAGTAGATAAAATATTTTCTAAGGTCTATTTTCTGACATATTTTCTGAAAATTCACTAATAACAGATGGGATATTTGAAATGCAAACAACAATTAGAGCATTAATTCCCAAGCCAATGGGTTCTGCCACATCATTTGCTCTAGTAAACTCCAGAAATATTGGAAAATGTTATCAAATACTCAAAGGCAAGTTAATTTTAATTACCTTAATTTAAGCAACATAAGCCATAAATCACTTATAAAGTAGGGAATAGGGTTGTAAAATCAAGTAATAACAGTGCAGTAAGTCCCAAAAGATGGGAGATTGTTGGATCAGTTCTCCTGTATGAGAACCAGAATAAAATTAATAGCAACACAATGGAATACTCCACCATCTCTCTCTATATACCAAAAGAATATATATATATATTTAAGATTTTATTTATTTTTTTGAGAAAGAGAGAGAGAGCACAAGCAGGGGGAGCAGCAGGCAGAGGGAGAAGCAGGCTTCCCGCCGAGCAGGGAGCCCGATGCAGGACTCGATCCCAGGACCCTGGGACCATGACCTGAGCCGAAGGCAGACGCTTAACCGACTGAGCCACCCTGGTGCCCCCCAAAATAATATTTTTAAAAAGCATATATTTTTGTTTTTATTAGTGTTACAATAAAGCCATTTTGTCCCAATTTGTTTGAATCATGACTATCCATTCCTTTCCAAAACAACACCGAGGAGGAATGAATAGTAGCTGTGAGGATCAACAATCTAAGAGGATAGTGAGTAACAGCGAGGGGCACACCTCGGAAGCTGGTGGCTTCAGCTCCTGTGACTCTCTCAAGTTTCACAGCTTTACATTTTCTAACATAGAGGCTACACTTTACTCTTTATTGCCAGGAGCCAAAGCACTGGCTTAACCCATGTTACGTTCCAGCAAAATGAACAGTCACCAGGCTTACTGGGTAGTATATCCAGCAGACTCCATGCCGAATGTTATCCTTGTACTGCCCCTTGAAGATCAATCTCCCATCCGTGTCATACTCCTGGGCGGGCCCATTCAGCTCTCCGTCTACATATGTGCCCTGGAGAACGCCCCCGTCCTCGTAAGTGTACACTCCCTGGCCCTGCAGGGCATCGTCCACATAATACCCTTCCAGGGTGCTGCGAGAGAAGGGAGAACAGAAGGGAATAGTCAGACCACGGCCCCACTCTCTTAGAAGAAAGGATCACAGGCAACGCTCTGTTTCGCTGCTGACCTGTATTCAGTGCACCTCCGAATTCCCTCCATCGCTAAGAAAAATACTCCCGCGATTTGGGTAGGATTAGGGACAGAGGGAGATTTCATTCTTAACTTCCCGGTTCCCATTCATTCTTTTTCTCTGCTAGCAGAAATAGAGAAGAATAAAGCCACAGGTGGAAACAGACCAAGCCTCATCTGAATGTTTTCAAGGCTAAGATGCTGACCGGTACCAGGTGATAGAAATGGTGGTGTTACCCTTTTCACATATAAACCACTCATGTTTAATTCCCTCAACACTGGTCCAGACTTCACTGGGTTCTCAAGCTCTTTCAGATGGCTTGTATATAGTGGTCCTTAAGGACCACAATAGTGGTTTAGAATGTAAATATCTACATATTTATTTAGATCATTAATGTACTATTTATGGGTGACAACCATAATTGATATCCAGTCAGAAGAACCCCTTCCATTTACGTGGATGATATATGGGGATTTACTTAAGTATATGCATGTGCACACCTGTGTGTGTGTGTATTTCACTGTGTGTGTGGGTACATGATCAGGGCAAATGGGGACAAGTAAGGAAGACTGCAGGCTGAACCTTGTTAATATCATTAGCAGCCTGATAGTGTTGACACCCCTCCTTCCACAACAAAAGAAACTCACAGGGGTGCTGCTCATGGTGAATTTATAAGAACCTCCCCCTCCCTCCTCATAGAACACTTTTGGAATTTCAATCTGTTTTCAGGATTAGCTTCTCAAAGGCCATTGTGCAACAAAACCAACTTTTTTTTAAATTCCCTCTATGTACTACAACTTGGAATAAGGGAAAGAGTACCTCAAATAATTTTTTTAAATTTAATGTAAGATGTTTAGCAACGGTGACAGTTTGTTTTAACATCTGCAGATAGCACTCACCCATTAATTCACCTAAAAAACATTTATAGGGTGCCTCATAAGTGGCGAGCATTGTGGGAGGTTCTAGAAAGCACGAGGAACATAAGGAGAGCATGGCAGGCACACACTGTGTATGTGGATAGATGGGGTGCCAGGGGGCCATGGGGACTGAGGTGGCTGCACCTGGCTGTGCCTGGTAAAGTCTGGTTTTGCTTACCGAATGATAGAATGATCTATGATTGTTAAATGAAAAGCACAATCTAAGTAACTGTAGCCGCTGATCACACGGAACTTATTACACTATGGGTAAGAAACAGTTCTTTCAGTTTTGTTTGTACTACCAATGATAAATAGGCTGAGTAAATTCATGAAGAGAATAAAGTGCACTTTAGCATAGTCCTTGAATAATCAAAATTCTGTATCAGTGAGGTTGGAATTAATGAGTTTTGACTGTCACTAGATTCCCCCCACCCATGACCAAAAAAAATTAAAAAATAAAAATAAGAACAACCTTGGGGAAGGACAGCTAATCAACTAACATAATAATACAATAGTGCAAAAAACTACTTACTCACCTATCTTCCCATTTAGGATGGCCAGATAAAATATAGGAGGCTCAGACAGGTTTGAATTTCAGATAAACAACAGATAATTTTTTAGTATAAATAGGTCCCTAATGTCGAGCAGAACACACACTTATCCTAAAATATTTTTTGTTGCTTATCTGAAATGCCATTTTAAGTGAGTGCCCTGGATTCTTATTTGCTCAGCCCAGCAACCCTATTTACTAAGTTCTCAGGAGCATTCAAAACATTCCTGTGTGTGTTTGAGCAGAATTCTCCCCTGACACACTAGTCTAGTCTGCCAATATTTCTCAGGTTATGATCAAATCTACAAGGCCTGGGTCTTGCAAATCACTTAACAGTGATATGGACTTGCACATATTTCCCCCTAAGTAGCTTGTCCCATCGTCCCTTACAATGGAGACCATCCTTATTAGTCTCATAACACTAAGAACCAATAGCTATTTCCCTCTTTGCCCAAATGACAAAGGTGCACAAATGCAAACTCTTAAGGTGCTGGAGAGCAAAACTGACTGCATTATTTTTCAGCACCTGCTTGAGGAAGACTGTTAGTGCTCTCAGCAAATCAGTATGATAGCTTGGAGGAAATCTGATGACCAAAGGGGCACATTATTGCATGAACTGGGGGCCTCCAGGGCAAGAAAAATGATAAGGCTTGACATCCTCTGGCACCAAGGAAATAAAATAAAAGCTTCTGAGTCTGGGGTCAAAGGTCCTGCCATTCTTTCTAACTTTTCTTCCAGAGGAGGTCGGTAAACCCCGGCCGGCTCCTTGTTTCTGTAAAGGTGGTGCTACTGGACACAGCCACGCACAGTCCTTCCCCGCGTCCTCTGTGGCTGCCTTCATGTCATCACAGCAGAGTTGCAGAGGTGTACCGGGGAAACTGACCCCTGTGCTGCAGGCCCCGAAGCCTGCAGTATTTACCATCGCACCCTATACAGAAAAAGTTCGCTGACCCCTGTTCCAGAGTCCCCTGCTCACATTAGTCTATTCACTGGCCCAAGCACACGTTCCTCTCTATATCTTAGCTCCCATTACTACGGCATCCTCGCCTCTGTCTTGAAAACATATGTAACCAAACGGTTTAAATCCCTGAGGACACATTCAGGAAAATAGCTGTGGGTCACATTTTCTTTCTTTCTTTCTTTTTTTTTTTATTCAAAGCAGAAATAACCTTGGGATAATAATGACTATCCTCAAGCCTCTGGCATTTTTCTATTCAAAAGAGAAATATGCTGAGAAAATGGCACTGTTTTGTGGCCACTAAATTGTTAGTATCAGAGAATACTGGAGAGGTAGCTACATACAAGTAGCTTTCTCATCCTTCTTGCTGAAATTGGATGGAGAGCTGCATTTTGGAGGAAGTCTGCTCATACTGGCTTAACCAGAGCCTACACACCCTACTTCCCCCAGAGTCGACCCTGAGCTCCGCAAGCAGTCCGTATTTCCTACTGGAGCCTCATCGTGAACCACTGCAGAGCTTTCCATGTCTTTACTGATGGCCACCTTATGTGTCCCATTTCTCTAACTAGACTGTAAGCCCTTTGTGGGAACAAATTAGGTGTTATCCATCCATGGATCCCTCCCTAACACAGGAACACAGCCTATCTTCAAGTGGTACCTCCTAAATGAAAGAATGGAAATGGAAACTGGGCTAATTCTGCTTTGAGAAGAGACAATTAAGAGGGAACATAACAATGTTACACAAGTGCAGGGAGTACTCTTTCTATGCAGTATACGTGCATAGAGTCTGCTCATCAGGAAAGTCTCTTTAAACTCTCCCTGCTTCATTTCTTCATTTGTAAACTGTAGCTACTAATAGGGTTATAATAAGGATTAAATGGGTTCATATATATCAAGTGCTTAGAAGATGATCTGGGACATAGTGATTGCTCAAATAAGTAATAGCTATTATTATTAAGCATGCACATTCATGGGTATGATGGTGAGCTTTCTACTGAGAAACTGGGCTTAAAACAGCATCGGGGACATAGTTATGAGATAATGGAATAGTCAAAGACATTTACCAAAACTGCTTTAAATCTACTAAAAAAAAAAAAAAAAACAGGCAAGAAAGGTTCCTCTGGAATAATTTATGAGCAACGCATTGCATGGCAAAAGGATGAAATAAATGCTTCTTTAAGTGAAAAAAGTAACACGTATTCATTGTAAAACAAAGAAAAACCAAACCAAGTACTAAAAGATGTAGAACGTAGAAATTCCCAGTCCTCTCGCTCAATTTGGCATATACCATTTAAGACTTTTTCCCCATTTATATATCATGCACTTTCCCACCTTTGTTGTTTCTGTTTTAATAAAAATGGTATCATACTATATACAGTGTTCTTGACTGGTATTTCCTGAAGTCTCTTTCAACATCTTGGCAGATTCTTTAGTATGTTAAGAAACTTCAAAAGTGGTCTTTCGACTTAGATTTTTCTGCTACCCGCATCTGAATCAAGTAACCAGAAAATGTGGAGAAAATTAAAACATCAACTTTAATTAAATTTCTTTCTGTACATATACACACAGACCACTGTTACCTGTTTTATCAAAGCTCTTGTACTTAAATTTCCAGTGATAAATTAAATTAGGAAATCTAACTTAAAAAGAAACTGGGAATTTTTGTAATTATTTACCTAGACTGACACATCTGCATTTTACTCAAATATTACTATATTTTCTTTTTAAAATTCTCTTTAATATCTGAATACACAAAAGTGCTCTTAGGAGATATGACAGCTTGGTCTTTTCCTCGTTATTCTAGGGTCCAGAATGTTTCAGGCTTTCCACCTCGTGAGGCACAAACTCTGTTCCCTTCCCCCACTGTGTTCCCTTCCTTTCGTCAGCTGTTGTAATACAAGAACCAAGAGGGAAATTTTAAGTGAATCATAATTCTACTTTAAATTCCCAGTTCTAACTGAATTAAATTGTGACTCTTGGTATTAAAACATCGTTTGAACAGTTATATCATGTGACAATATATATTATCTCTTTTTTTAAAAATTGAGATGTAATTGACATACAGTAATATACATTATCTCTTAAAATACTGAACACTAAGTAAAGATGAACACTAAGTAAAGAAAAAGAAGAACATCCCCCACAAACCCAAACCATCTGCTCGGGCTCTATCTGAGAGAAACTTCAACTCTTACAAGGTGTGATCAGCAAGCTGAATGGAGCACTACCATACTTACATGTAATAGAGTGTGCTGTCTATCTTTAAAGTTTTTTTTTATCCTTTAGTAGAAGATCTGTGAGTCTGTAGGATCTGATTATTATAAAGGCTCAAGATGACAGTAAAATTTTTGAATAGCAATTAGTGAAATTTAGTTTTGCTCTCTAAAAATAAATCCTATGGGTGGCTCAGCTGGTTAGGCGTTAGACTCTTGATTTCGGCTCAAGTCATGATCTCAGGGTTGTGAGATCGAGCCCCT